GGGGGGGGGGGGGGGGGGGGGACTGTGCAAAAAACGCATCCTCGTACCGGCAGCCGGTACGCTTTCTACTAGATAGCTTTTCGTTTTTGGGCACGGTCGGAATGAGATAGGCCTACACGTTAAGTGACTTGCAGCAATGTTAACCAAGCAAAAGCCGTTTTATTTTTAGAGAATGTTCTGCATTTTATTTGGTTTTGTTTTGTGCCGAAGTGACGGTGGCGTGTTAGACAGGGGCCGCTTCTCTCCATAAGTCTCTTGAGTAGGCGGCGGTCTCTTTTTTTCCCTTACTTTTCCTGTAACCCTGCTCTCCCTCTCCTCAAAGGGAATTATCGATATAATAAAGCAGTATGGTTCAGAATGGCTCGATTTTTCAGGAGTAGCCTCGGCCAGTTGCGTACATCCTGGTGATGAATGTCACATATATCGGACGCCTCATGAAGCTCCACCAGAGTCAGTACAAGTACTAGTGACATGTCATAGTTTAGTTCGATTTGATGATGATTTAGTTGGCGATCCGTTAGAGAAAGCCTGCCTCAGCTGGGCGGATTGGAATTTAACAAAAAGTAATTTTGTTTTCTATCTAATTACAGTCTTTTTTCATTCATGGATGAGATGCAAAAATTTGCTGTCCAAAATGCTAAAAAGCTAGCGGTATTTTCATGATGGCGATATCATTTACCAGAGCGTATTGTATTTTCTAACTCTGCAGAAAACGCAAGCCATTGTCTTTTAGATGATACAGTGATCCCGAAGAAATCCAAAATGCAGCCGTTGAAAATTTTCCATCGTTTTCATTTTTGCTCAGCACTTAAAAGGATGACGGTGATTGCTGGCTACCTCTCTCCGGGGACCAATGAAACCAGGCATATTGTAACGGTTAAGGGTGCACCAGAAATGCTGGAGTGTATGGTTTGTTTTAATAGCGACTGTCATTTACCATACATTTGGCATTTGTTTTACGAGAAGATAATGTCTTCTTGCAGTATGAAACAGTTCCCAAGAACTACATTCAGACGTATCGGCATCTAACACGGCAAGGTGCGCGCGTCTTGGCCTTGGGTGTCAAAGAACTCGGCTCACTGAGTCATCAAGAAGTAAAATTTTAGACTTTTAAAATATATTGTTACTATGTTCTTCTGTCGCGTATTACTTCAGACGCAGGGACCGTTCAAAAAAACGCTTGCCTTCGAGAAATTGCAAAATGC